ATGGAGTTTTTAATCTCCTGGAAATCTGTTTGCATTTGTTTTATGGATTCCATTTGTTTCCTATGTTGGGATTCCATCATGTTCCTCAGCTCCAATCTAGATTTATTAATCATGTCTTGCGCTATGGGCACAATCTCTGCTGTTAGCTGATAAATTATTTTTGATTTCATTTTTTCCAGATCCTCTTTTGTTGCCAGTTCAGGGAGTCCAGGTGGTTGAGTTTCAGAGTGTTCCATCTCCTTTCCCTTTGAGGTTACTGTAGGTGATCTGGAAGTCTGTTTTTGAGACTTGCTTACATGTCTTCTCATTTCAACTGGGGGAAGGTGGGTGCTGCTGGTGCCTGTGGGGCTCACCTCCTCTGTGCTGGTGGGGGTGGTATGGTGGCCCAGAGGCCTCCTCTTATGCACTGGGAGTGGCTCACCTCCTCTGTGCTCTGGTAAGTCTTAAAACAATGTTTCTCAAATTTTTTTTGAGATTACCAACCAACTAGTAAGTCAGCAATGCAGATTCCTGTTCATTTCCACCCTCAACATCCCAGTCAAATTTACTGGCTCTGGGTATGATTTGGCAGGCCCTTATCAATCTTTAAGGAAACTGCCCCTTCTGTGTTTCTGGTACTAGAATTGATTAGAATTCAAGCTCCTTCCTGAGACTAAGTTTCTATAGATTTTTAAAAGGATAATACTGAATATCTGTTTTCAAGATTAAATCAAAACCAACCCATATAATATACTGAGTAGATGGTAGTGTTTTACCTTCTCTTCCTTATACATGGATGTCATTCCCTCTTATTCTATCATTAAACACCTCTTATGGAAAATATGTTGTATATTTTTAAAAGAAGGATATATTTTAAAAACACACACAGAGCAATGATTACGTTCCAAGCCCTATCCTATGTGCTTTATAAACATAAATGCTCTTAATCTGATATTAACTTTCATTACAAGTCCCACTCAAGAATCTAAAATTTTTAATGCCTATTATAATGTTTTTTTACCCTTATTCCAGTTGGAAGTCATTAAACCAGTAGTCAATTCATTTTTTCTCAATCTAGAACAAAGGCACACTACAGTTGGAGTCTATTTTACCAAAGCAATCTAATGCTTCACTACTGTCCAAACAAGCCTCCCAGAAGTTTATCTTCTTTCTAGACTTCACTTCTGTTACATCCTCCTTAGATCATCCTTCCTACTTCTAATTCAATTCCAATTCTCTGATGTTATTATGAAGTGCTCCAAATTTCTGTTATCTGCCAGTCCTCCCAGGCAGAAACAGCTTTTCCTTTGAATTCTGTAATATTTGTGTACATAATCCTACTCTGAGGGAGCTCAATTTTATTAATATATTCCCCTGGAGGAAACTGCCTAATTGATTTGTGTTTGGGTATGCAGGGAGTTTGTTTTAATTCAGCTTTGTTTAGATATAATTTATATACAATGGCACTTATCCATTTAAATTGTAGTTTGATGAATTTTGAAAAATGTATAACAGATAAAACCACCACAATTAAGATATAAAACATTTCTATTACCCCAAACAGTTCCCTTTTGTGCCTTTGTAGGTAATTACCTCCCCCCAATTCTAGTTACACTGTTAAGCTGTCACTATAGATTTCCAGAATTTCATATAATGGAATCCTACTGTATGTTGTCTTTTGTGTCTAGTTTTTTTTACTTAGCAGGATTCTATGATTCATGTTTTGTTCATTTATTGAACTGTTCAGTTTTATTGCTAAATTCATTGTATGTTTATGACTCTATCACAATATAATCACAAAATGCTCCTACATTTTGGGCCATTCTAAATAAAACTGCTATCAATAGTCATGTACCACTCTTTGTGTACACTTTACATAGTCTCACTTATCTTGGTGAACAACCCTCTGCTGGGTTGTATGGTTAAGAGTGTAGTAACTGCTTTAAAACTGAACTAAGGCTTCTAGTTGCACTACATTCTTGCTGAAACTTGGTATGTGAGTCTTTTAACTATTCGAGTAATGGTTTAATAATACTTCATTTGTCATTCTATATCTCCTTTGATAAAATGTGTGCTCAAATACACCTTGTTTTTAAAAATTTGATTGTCTTCTTTTTATTGAGTTGTAAGAGTTTTTTGTTTTGTTTTGGTAATGTGGATTAAACTCGGGGGACTCTACCACTGAACCACATTCTCAGTCTTTTAAATTTTTTTAAATTTTGAGATAGGATCTCACTAAGTTGCTAAGCTGCCCAGGTTGAGCTTGAACTTGTGACTCTTCTGCCTCAACCTCCCAGAGTGCCAGTATTACAGATATGTATCACAAAATTTGGCTTCATTGTGATTATTTTAACGTATGTTTTGAATTTCCTGTTTGAAAGTTGAAAAGTTTCCATTTTCATTTTATATCCTTCCAAATGGGAGATTT